AGAAGTGAACCTGCACCCTCCCATCTCCTCTGGGCTTGGGAAGCCATTGGGCTGTGCTTTTTCTTGCATCCAAAGAGCTCTTACATGTACACCCTACACTGTCTTGTACCTTGAGCAAAGTGAGAGTAAGAGGCTCATTTGGGAGCATTTGTGTTCTCTGTAATGCCACCAGTGATGGAAGCACAGGAGGTTTGGTGTGGAGGTATGGAAAGGATCCAGCCCAGCTCATACACTGGGACTTACACAACCTCAGGATTGTAAACTGCTGCCTTAAGGGCTCTGGCTATACAAAACCTGGAATTATGGTGCTCCAACAGGGCTGAGTGCTCTCAGGTGGGATCTTTTGAATGGGCAGCCTCAAAGGTGGTCATATTTCAGAGGGTATTTATATCCCAGGAGCATGGATCTGTGCCAGCACATTGACATTCTATCTAAACTCCAATAGAAATAGCTTTTCCCTCTCTACTATTTTCCATCCACAAATCTCCAAACATTCTGAGTAATGCTTTATAACACTGTTGCTTTATAGGGAAATATTCAGCTGCTAAGCCTGGAGGGACCTCTCGAGTCACTGAGTTCAGTTAATTCCTTCACAGACAGCCAGCCCCATCATGTTTTCCCTTCCATAAGCACCCACCCCAACTGGATGGATGTCACAGGGCTTCGAGAGCTAAAAATCTTCTTACATTTTCAAACTTAAATATAGCCGCATATACTTCGTGCCCGTTTGTTCCTGTGCCATTATCTGGACTTTATTTTAAGTAGCTCTTTTTACACCTCTGACCTTTCCTACCCTGAAGTGTTTATCAGAAATCAGATTTGTTTCTCAGCTTTGGGTCGTGTTGGGTCAAACAAGCCCAGGTCTGGTTTAACTCTTCAGATGATTCTCCATTTCCCCAGTCATCCTCATGGCATTTCTCTGCCTGTTCCAGGCTCAATTTACCTTTCTAGATGAGAGGTGAACAGAAAAATGTACTTCCATCAGCAGTGGCTGGTGCTAATTCTGCTTTCCTTGGTCGGTCAGAGTTGCCAGAGTATTTGGGACCTACATTATTGATACTAAGTACATTTGTTTTACTAACCAGCAGCTCTTCCCCTTCAGTAAGGGCAGCCTGGTGTGATCCAGAAGCAAGGGAACAACAGGATTTAGAGCTGGAATTGAAAGGTTTCACAGTCTCCTTAACATTATTCCCTCAGCTCCACTGTTAGGAAATAGGATTCTTGTTTACACGAGGAAGCTGCTGAGTGGTAGTAGGACAGAATCAAAATACCAAGGAGGCAATGGAAGTATTCTAAATATAATGGTTTAAAATGTTTGCTATTACTGTACAGAACAGCTGGCCTTTAAAGCAATTACTGCAGTGAGTTGCACATCATCAATCTCTCCAAAAGATGAGTGTGAGTCTAGAGAATGTTTAATTCATGGCCTGAGAGAATCTTCTCATTGTATTTCTCTCTCAGGCTCCAGATCCTATGCAATGGCAGTCCGGGATGTGAAGCTGTTTTTCCCAGAAGGGCTGTGCTGTGCCCAGTGTCAGCCAGAGCAGCAGCAAGAGGTAGGAATCAGCCCCTTCCTGAGCTTATCACAGCAGCTTTGGCCCTGCTGTGCCGTGCCTTCTCTGCTATGATGCTGTAGATAATGCAGCTCTGGGTGTGTTTCCTGGTCCTGGGGATGTTCCTCCCTCTGCACTGACCCCAGCAGCCTCGGTGGGGAAGAGCTGCTGCCGATCTGTTTGTTCAGCAAGCTCTGCTGTGAATTTGGGAGGGCTCAGGGCTTGTGCCCCCAAATGAGCAGCACTGCTTTGGAAGCAGGGACAGCAGCCTCACCCTGACTGCTGAGCACACTTGACCCAGGAGCTGGTTTTAACCAGCTTTTTATCATTCAGGGATGGGATGGCTGATGATGTGAAAATGATTGGGATGTGCTCAAGCAAGGGATGGAAATGTTTGAGCTTTGCTGTGGCTCAGAGGCGATCCAGCTGAGATGGCTCTCCCAGGAGATTAGCTCTGGCCACATCTGTAAGAGGCTCCACTCGTGGGGGTGTGCAGCTCAGTGCAGGGCATCCTGACTGTGCCAGTTCACTCAGGGACAGAGGGAGCTGCTGCACCCCAGAGTGGCACTGGTAAAGCTGTCAGACTGTCACAGGCTTTGTTTGAGCTCCTGGCCTTGAAAAGCTGGGAGTGGAGCCTTTAGAATGATGGCTGGATATGGGACCTTGAAAAGGATGATGAGATACTGCACTGAATTAAGCCTCCATTAAAAAGAAGAATGCATGCAAAATGTTCTTGTATTTCCAGACAAGCAGGTGTTTACTTGGCTGGCAATTACAGAAGTACACCACAACAACAAAAGCTTCACAGCTTGCCTGAATCAATACTTGAGGAGTGTTATGCCTCCTCATTAGGTAATGTGCTCACATTACTTGCTTCTCCTTCCCTCCCTGCCTCCCTTCTGCAGATCCATAACCTGAAACACGACCCCATCCTCAGCCTGGGAATCGGGAAGCAGCACAAGGCCCCAAGCCATGCCCCAGGAAGACATCCCAGTGTGCTGGGCTCTGAGCAGCCAGGCAGTCCTGGTAAGGAAATGTAACTCCTGTTATAGATTGGGACTGCTATTGATTAATTGGACAGCAAGGCAAACCATCTGGTGGCAGCAAGATTGGGTATTGATGTCCTTTCAGAAGGGAGAGACAGCTCTGAGCTGCAGAGAACAGCTCCAGCGGGGGGTCCAGCCTTTAACTGTTCACCTGCCAGCACCTCAGGGGTTTACAGACAGAGCTGTCCACAAGGGCTGACCTTAACAGCAGCAGCAGAACGAGCACTGACAACACAGCTGGTGGCAGAGCAGCACATGTTCCTCTCTGAACCCTTCCCAGGTGTCTCAGCACAGCCCTGGTGCTTGGTGTCCATTCAGAGCCTCCCCTGGAGAGGCAGCAGAGCTGGGCAGCGTGAGCTGCTCTGTGCTGTGAGTAGATAAATATCAGCTGGTGCAGGGAGTGCTGCTGGCAGCGTGGCCAGAGGCCTCTCTTGAGCTGAGCTGAGAGCTCATTCAGCTCCCACTGCTGCTGAGCAGCTGCCAGCTCCAAATGACTCCCAGCTATGGCCAGGCTGACACTTCCTGGGATGCAGCAGCTTCTCAGGGCCTTTCCTGCTGATTTGACTTGACAGACAAGTGTAAACACAGCTGTGCTGCAGGGGCAGGAGATGGCACTGACACGAGGGGATGCTCCCACCTTGGGATGTTGTGGATTGATCCCAAGCCTTTATAAACAAGCAGGGACCAGGTGAAGCATCCTGTGGTAGTCCCTGGGGAACAGAATTGTTTAGAACAATTATTCCCATTCCTGTTGCTTCAGTTCTGATGTAGGCAGCTCAAAAAAATGTTCCTGTGCTACACCTGATCACTGCAGTCCTTAATCCCATCAATGGAGCCTCGGGATTGCTGTGGATGGGAGAGGAGCAGGATACAAAAGTGACAGAAACACAGCCCAGCCCTGCCTGACACAGGACTTTGGGGGGGCATTGGTCACATACCAGTAGGTGCAGAAGTGCAAGGAGGGGGTGGTAAATCAAGTCCTCTGCCCCTGGGGTGAACACCAAGTCACTTTTGTGCAAGGAGTCTCTGAAGGAGGTTTTGTCCCAAGGTATATGGGAAGGGTGTTTTCCCTATCATCTTAGTGCATAATGGGAAAGGGGCAGGTTTGCTGTGACCAAATCACTTAATTTGTAGAAGAGATTTTGTAATATAAAATAAAATAATAAAGCAGGTTGTGGAGAGAGCACAGATATTCTGCAGGTTTTGCACAGCTCTGTGTCGGGAGCTAATCTCAAAATACATGCCCCTAATTTCCTGCTACACCAGGATAGCTTAGCTTTGAAGATGCCTAAGCAGAGAAAAGGAAAGCAGTGTACAGCCCTGATGTGTTTGTGTCTCAGAAAATGTATTTCAAAGAGTTACTGCCCTGGAAAAGCAAGTCCACGTGATTGCTGAACTGTCAGGCACAATCTCATAAGTGCCTCCAGCAAAGCAGACACATCACTCACGTTCTGGGCTCATCTTGGACACTAGAGGAAGCTCTTGCACACAAGGAAAGTTCCTTCCAGCAAATAATTATCACCAAGCTGCTGCCTAATGGACAGACAGATTTATCATGAGGAAAATATGAAATACATTAAGCCTCACGTATGCTGAGCAGAATTACATTTGGGATTATAAAAGCAGCTGGATTAGCAGCTTTCTCTGCTTGGAAAAAATGAAAATGGAGTAGTAGCTCCTGTAGCAAACCAGCAGTTGTCCTTGTCTGACTCCTGAAATGGGGTCACTCCTGCTGTCTTGTGATCTCCAGACAGGGACACAAAGGCAGCAGCTCGGGATGGGCATCCCAGGGCTCATCCCTGGGCTCATCCCTGGGCACCTGCCAGGGCTCTGCTCTGTGCACATCCCAGGGCTCATCCCTGGGCTCATCCCTGGGCACCTTCCAGGGCTCTGCTCTGTGCACATCCCAGGGCTCATCCCTGGGCACCTCCCTGGGCACCTTCCAGGGCTCTGCTCTGTGCACATCCCAGGGCTCATCCCTGGGCACCTCCCAGGGCACATCCCTGGGCACATCCCTGGGATCATCCCTGGGCACATCCCAGGGCACCTGCCAGGGCTCTGCTCTGTGCACATCCCAGGGCTCATCCCTGGGCACGTTCCCAGCCATCCCAACACCGTGGTGCCTCCAACTGCCATAGGTGCATCTGTGCCAGGGCAGGGGCACTGAGAGGGCTCAGAGGTGCTGGGGGGAGTCACCAAAGAAGTGTTCTGCTGTTTTCCCATCAGGTCAGGCACTGCTGGAGCAGCTCTGGCAGAGCACCTGCCTGGTGCTGCCTGGGATAATCCTGCAGGGCTCGGAGCCCCCCCCGTACGTGGCGCTGCTGGAGGAGCTCGTGGGCAGAGGCTTTGTGCTGGCTGGGGCTCGCCTGGCTGTGCTGGACTCACCTCAGGCTCTCTGCATCTCCCAGATGCTCAGCAGGGCCAAGGGCAGTGTTGCAGCAAAGGTATGGAACAGATGGAGCTGGGCTTTGCTTCCTTGGCACAAAAGAAGAGCCTTGTAATGCCTTGCTCTGATGTGCTGCCCCAAGGCTTTGGTGGCACTATTGCAACGCTGCCTCTGAGCCCTGGCACCTTTGGTGAGTAATGTGGGCACTGGGCACACTTCCTGATGGTCCTGCATCCCTGGGAGCCCTCATGGGAAGGGCCCATCCACCAGTCATTTATTGAATGTTTCATTCCAGTCAGCCATCACTCTGTTCTGCGTGTTCTGCTGCTGTCTCTTCTCTTGTTTCTCCACATAAATACAGTTTCTATTTCCCTCTCTGTAATCACACTCCATTAATCCTCCCTCTACAATGTTAAAAATCCTTTCTTCTTCTTGGACTGTGCCCTGGAGCCTGACCCAGAGGTTTTCCCACCTGGAGTGTTGCCTCCAGCTCTGGGGCTCCCTGCACAGAAAGGACCTGGAGCTGCTGGAGCCAGTGCAGAGGAGGCACCAGGATGATCAGAGGGATGGAGCAGCTCTGCTGGGAGGAAAGGCTGAGGGAATTGGCACTGTTCACCTGGAGAAGAAAAGGCTTTGGGGTGACCTAACTGTGGCCTTCCAGTGTGTGACGGAACTACAAGAAAAATGGAGAGACCATTTCCAAGGGCCTGGAGGGACAGGACACAGGGAATGGCTCCCATGGCCAGAGGGCAGGGATGGATGGGATATTGGGAATTAGGAATTGTTCCCTGTGAGGGTGGGCAGGCCCTGGCACAGGGTGCCCAGAGCAGCTGTGGCTGCCCCTGGATCCCTGGCAGTGCCCAAGGCCAGGTTGGATGAGGAACCTGGGATAGAGGAAGGTGTCCACCCCATGGCAGGGGTGGGACAAGATGGGCTTTGAGGACCCTTCCAACCCAGGCCATTCTGTGGCTCTCGGTAGATCCAGCCCAGCCTGGGGTTTTGCACAGGATGTGCTGCTGGGCTGAGCTGACATTGCTCCACAGCAACAGAAAACCAGGCCCAGCTGTTTTCCTCTTGGTGTAGGAGAAGCCCAGCAGGTTCCCAGTCAGGAACCTTGCCTGGGCAAGCTGGAAGGTGGAATGTGCAGGAAAGTGCTGTCAGCAGCAGAGAGTAAACAAGGGGGGAATTAATTCCAGTGGCAATAGCAAACCAGCAATCACCCAAGGGCTCTCAGACCACAGCAGACCCTCCAAAAAACACATTTGGGCTTCCAGCTCTCAGTTCTAAGTCTTGGGTATTATCTGTAATAGGAGTGTGTAAGATCTTTTCAGGTTGTGCTTTTTAAAACTGACAGCATCCCTTTGAAGTACATCTGTGTGGAACAGCAATTACATCTAGCAGCCAATTAGTGTAAGCACTGCTTGCCTGTGCCCCGAGTCCCCCGAGGATCCATCCCTCTGCACAGGGAATGTGCACAGCTCTCTAGGAAGGACAGAGCAGCACAGGGGGAGCAGAGCCATCCCTCCTTCCTCCTGTCAGAGATAAATGGCCCTGGGCAGAGCTGGTGTGTTTCCAGAAGGATCTGTCACTGCTGAGCCAAAGGTGAATGTCAGCCTTTGCCCATCTCTCTCTAGGAGAGAGATGGGCTGCTTCATGTAATTAATGTTTCTGCTACAATATCTCAATATTTACCTGTCTTGGTGTTCCTGCTTCCAGCAGAGGTAGGCACTGAATAACACACCCAGGCACTCTGCTGGTTTTCACTCAGAGAGGGCAGCAGGAGTGCTGGAGGGCTGTGGGGATCACAGACAGCTCAGACATGGCACTGGCTCTGCCTGGAAGGATCTGCTGCTCTGTGGCTCCTGTTCCTCACCCATCAGCCAGACTTAGAGACTTGTTCAGGTGCAGAACAGCACCAAAGCTCTGTTCCTCCCTCTCTTGCAGTGCTCCCTGCTGAAGGATGGGCTGTGCCTGGTGCTGGCAGCACAGTGGGACAGCGCTGTCACCTCCCTGGGCTCCCTGCTGGACAGGTAAGGAGGAGCTGCTGCCCCGAGGGAGGGCACCTCTCTTCTGTGCTTCTCACCCAAGGGCAGCCTGCTCTGCACACTCACCCTGTTCATGTAACTGGTCATGGAATTGTTAAGGTTGGGAAAGATCAAGTCCAGCCAGGAACCAGCACATTCACCATTAAACCAGGCCCTCAAGTGCCACATCCACACATTTTTAACTCTTCTAGGGGTGGTGACCCCATCACTGCCCTGGGCAGCTGTGCCAGTGCCTGACCACCCCTTCCATGAAAGAATTTTCCCAATGTCCAACCTAAACCTCGCCTGGCACAGTTGGGGCTGTTTCCACTTGTCCTGTCTCTGTTCCCAGGGACCCTCCTGGCTGTCACCTCCTGTCAGGAGCTGTGCAGAGCCACAAGGTCCCCCTGAGCCTCCTTTTCTCCAGGCTGAGCCCCTTCCCAGCTCCCTCAGCCCCTCCTGGTGCTCCTGACCCTCCCTGGCTCTGTTCCCTTCCCTGGACACGCTCCAGCCCCCCCAGTGTCTCTTGTCATGAGTGGCCCAATACCTGAGAGTGTCCCCCAGTTTCCAAGTCATGTGTCCTCTACTCAGGACCTTTAAAAACCCAGCCACCTTTGTTAAGCACTTGCAGTGTCTATAAGGCTCAGCAGCATGGTTCCATGAATACAGGGAATTCTCTGAAATTAGGACTCACATTGGGAATAGACCTGCTGCATCAATAAAATTCCTAGGAGAAATATCTTAGCAGATTTTATGTTTGCTGTGAAGGAAAAGAAAAAAAAAAAAAAAAAAAAAAAAAAAAATTGAAAAAAAAAAAAAAAAAAAAAAAAAAAAAAAAACAGAAAACCAAACCTTAAAATAAATGCCAGAAAGCAAAAATCAAAAATTAGCCTCTTAAATAAATCACCAGAAATGCTGGGTAGAGGATGTATAAGCCTGGAAAAACAAACAGAACCCCTCTGCAGGGACTGATTAGTGAAACAGAGTGATTAGCAGGGCAATTAACCCTGTGTTCCCCAGAGGGAAGGGCTCCTGCACGGGGCTGGTATTTGGCACTGGCATGTGCAGCTCTCACACATGGTTCCTCTGGCACAGGAACCACGAGTCAGGGCTGTGCCATATCCCATGTGGAGCAGCCCAGCAGCCAAAAACCCCATCCTGACACTGGCTGTGCCCTCTGGAGGGCTTCCAGAAAGTGCTGTCCATGGATTCAGGGATGCTGGAGCTTGCAGGCTCCAAGGGATCAAAGCTGAACGTCCACACAGCTGCACCTCAGAGTTCTCATTCTTTGCAGAAATGTTCCCAGGGCCACACCTGGGAGGAATGGTTGGAACAGATCTCATTGGTAACTTTTCAAAAGTGTTTTTAAGCTACTGACAGCATTTTGAATTTGCTTCCATTCATTAAAAATCACACCCTTGGGTGCCACATCCCAAGCCTTCTGCTCTGCAAGGGCAGACAAACAGCAAGTTAGCCAAGACCTTTGTGGTGAGATTTCTCCCAGCTTTCTCTGGTTTACAAAGAAAAAAAAAGTGAACTTTTGGGAACCCTGGAGGTCACTGCTGAAGGTAGTTCTGGGACAGTCACTCAAGATCCCCATATCTCTATTTTCCCCAGCACCACAGTCATGGGGTGCTGCAGTACTCCCCTCTCCTTCAGGCTGGCTGTGATTCCAGGGGCTGGTCCCAAGGCAGCCCCTCCAGGGACACCTCCTGTGGCTTCTCCAGGCTTCCAGAGCCCCGAGGGGCTGAGCAGGAATCGGTGCCAATCCCTGCACCTTCACCCCCCTCCTGCTCTGTACAAAGGATGAACTTCTGTGCTGAACTCCAAAATACCCCTGGGTAACTTATGGGGGTCAGGAGGCACTTCCAAAGGGCAGCATCAGCCCCAAACAGCAGGATCCACTCTCAAATGAATGGATCCACCCTCAAACAGCAGGATCCACTCTCAAATGAATGGATCCACCCTCAAACAGCAGGATCCACTGTCAAATGAATAGATCTACCCCCAAACAGCAGGATCCACTCTCAAATGAATGGATCCACCCTCAAACAGCAGGATCTACCCCCAGACAGCAGGGTCCACTCTGCCTCTCCCCACCCTGCCAGAACCAGTGATCACAGAGCCTTTTCAAACCAGCTCTACAAAAA